ACAACACACTGCAATGACTCCACAAAGGCTAAACAGAAACACCAGGTATATATACATACGGACTAACGAGCTGGGAGGAGACACACAGGTGAGGGACATGAGGCTGACGAGACACATGCAGGCAGAGAGATAACTGGGGGAACAGACGGAAAACTTGACAGGCAGACATGGGGCAAGATAACAACCAACAGAAGAACACAGACCAGGAGTAAACACTTAAGACATGAACTAATGTACAGGACTAAGAACTAAGACACCGAACTAGGAACTAAGAGACAAGACAGATACTAAGTAACTTAAAGATGCAGATGAATAATAATAATAATAATAAAGGCTACACAGAGACTAAAGCAGAATGATCAAAATCAGATTAATTAATGAAATCGGGAGAAATCGAGAACATAAATAGACATCTAGCAAACAGACAGAACTCAAGCATGATGGTACAGAAACTAATACACGAGACTGGAACGGAACCGAGATCAGGAAAATACCAAAACACCAGCTGACGGATAATAACCAGATAAACAATAACATACACTACATAACAGATGGAGAAAAGACTGAAATAACAAAACTGAGAACTACACAATGCAGGCACACAGCGTGACAGTGGGATTCGGTTTTGTTGTTCGTCAACCCTCCCTCATCTCAATCTGTGTGTGTGTGTGTGTGTGTGTGTGTGGGCATCGGAGTATTATTTCTTTGTTTGAGCTGTCAGTGTTTTGGCAGCCGGCAGCCATTTTTCCTTTCATTCCGAAGCAATTACACTTTAACCAAGTGTCTCATTCCCTCCTGTGATATCTGCTGTGTGTACCCTTGATTTACCCCTCCACCTTACATCGATCTCACCTTTATCTTGTCTATCTTTATCCAGCTACACATCTCTCTGATCCCTCTCTCTCTCTTTTATGTTCTTAACCTTCACACCCAGACTACTTTCATAATCTCCATTCGTCTTTATAATTGTAACAAAACCATACATGGTGACATTCACTTTTTAAAGTGGATGCGGATATGATGCTGTTGGTATCATTGTATGACCTTGAAAAGTTCTTTGCTCAGACTTGAGAAGAAAACCACCCATTATGTCTTTTTTGTCAGTACGTAGTTGTAGAGTCTGTGTTACTGGTGCGGTGTCTTAGCATGCATCTTTAATTATTGATTATAGATTACATATTATTACATAGATTACACATTATAGATTCTCTATAATAACCTGATGTAACTTGTCTGAGTTGACCTTTTCACACAGTCACCCTAAAAATCGCATAGGTCACAGAGTCATTAGCATTTTAAACGTGGATGCTGTTGGACGTCAAAAATTGACCATCTACATGGGTTCCTGCAGTGTTTTAAAATAGAGGTATCCCAATTGCCTGAAAAAAAGAGTTCTCATGATCAGACGACACTGTTAACAATTGAGATGTCAGGTTCTGTGTGATTCAGCTCAGCAGGTGACTGATGAGAGGTTCGTTCGCAATTTTGGGGAAAATAAAGACAAATAGCCCAATCAGTAACAGTCAGGTGAGGGAAAAATAAACTCACTAGTGCACAACAGGTCAGACACCAGGCTGAAATGAGTTTGATATCCACCATGGAAAATACCCTGATATAAATGTGTTTATATGTATGTCAGCTTGTGAAATAGAAGATGCTGCAACTCATGTAAACATAAATGATCACCATGCTGTTGTTATGCATCTGTTTCTCAACCCATGTGAATCTAAGACCTCATGCCGTCCTCTAATCTTCAGAGGATGGAGTTAAATAGCACACATAACAGTCAATCAGAATTGTGATTCAGTCTATGTCATTATTTATTATGAACCAGCAAGTGTATGCAGCATCTCATGCAGAGTCATCATGGACTGTATACATAAATAAAAAAAAGATAATACTGGGATTATGCTAATGGTTATTATGTAAAGCAGACTTTACATTGCAAATATTCGATTTAATCTTTTCTTAGACTAATTTATAATAAGTATTGATAGCGTTCTGTTTAAATACATGTTTTCCTGTTTGATTCTTGTGTGATTCAAGATGGAGGGCCAGAGAAGGACACATGTATGTATCACTGTGCAAAAAGAAACCATGATTTCTCTTTGCACAGTGAATTATTGATACCAGGCAGGTATCAGAGACCTGCTGTAAGGTCTCCGACTCTTACAGCGGGACTCTGACTCTGACTCTTACAGCGGGTCTCTGACTCTTACAGCTATCTAAGGCCACTTTTGAACAGAATATTTATTCACAATACTTGTTGAATCTGACCTGTGTCAAGAAAGGAGCTTTAAGTAACTCTCACCCAGATCTATGAGCTGGGTCAGATTTGACCTGTTCTGTGTTCCATATAAAGTTGGTTCAGCACCTGTCAAAATGTCACTCATGTCATAACAAATGTTTCACACTCGTGTGCCTGTGCTGCTCTACCAGTAGGAACCTCAGTAAGTTACCACTTACCTGAATTGAGGTAGAAAATCTTGGCAAGCTTTATGTTGATTAGCAGGAGTGAGAGAAGAAGCAAATGGAGTGATGATCATGAGTTAATGGGACTGTTAGAGACTGTAAAATTAACGCAACTAAACTATTCAACCACAGGTTCGCTGTCAAAACTGTCAATTGGTACCGTTAATTCCTCTGGTCCAGTACACTCTCACAATTACTGGAGTCCAGAATCTTGTTGCTGGGGTAGTAGGTAATACATATAGTACATTATGGTACAATTTTTTTTTTTGTATTTATACCATTTCATATGTTTCCGTCAACTTTCTTTTGGCCAAGTTCTCAGTAGTGCTTATTTGTTGTGACAAGATTTGCAAAATCACTCTCCAGTTAACCAGCTGTGTGTGTGTGTGTGTGTGTGTGTGCACTATGATTGCTGCTGTGTGTGTGTGTGTGTGGTGTGTGTGTGTGTGTGTGTGTGTGTGTGTGCACTATGATGGCTGCTGTGTGTGTGTGTGTGTGTGTGCACTATGATGGCTGCCGTGTGTGTGTGTGTGTGTGTGTGTGTGCGCACTATGATGGCTGCCGTGTGTGTGTGTGTGTGTGTGTGTGTGTGTGTGTGTGTGCACTATGATGGCTGCCGTGTGTGTGTGTGTGTGTGTGTGCGCACTATGATGGCTGCCGTGTGTGTGTGTGTGTGTGTGTGTGTGTGTGTGTGTGCACTATGATGGCTGCTGTGGAGGAAGTCCAATCAGCAGAAGTATGGCCAACCCCCTGCAGCAACAGAAATATGCTGGGCCATTTTTCGGTGTATACACACATACACAGCATATCTACAGTATGCAACATGACAATCTGGGGATAAAAATCAAGAAAACCTAAGGCATATCAAGAATATGTAAATGAGCTCCCCTTAATGCTGTTACCGTTTCCATGATTAATGGTGTGTGTGTGTGTGTGCGCTTGTATGTGTTGGGATTGTTCTGTAAGCTAGACATCTGTTGTTACCACCTCTTCTGTTGCTGTCTGTCTGTCCGTGGAGAGACTGAGGAGTTGGCCTGCTTTCTTTCTTACACACACACACACACACACACACACACACACACACACACACACACACACACACACACACACACACACACACACACACACACACACACGACATCTCATTGACATAGTGCATTCCCTAGGCCCTAACCCTAACATTAACCATACTGTAACCTGAGCCCTAAAACCAGGTCTTAACCCTCAAAGAGCGGTCTCTACCTGTGAAGACCTCAGTTTTCGTCCCCACTGGTTAGTGTGCATTCAGGTTAAAGTCCCCACCGAGATATAAAAACATGAAACACACACTCACAGAGCCACTAAAGCTTCAACCTATTGATTTAATTCATGTCGCCTTTTATTCAGCTGGAAGAGGTACAATTTTGATGTGAAGTCATCTTAGTTATTATTGTCAAAGTTGAATGCACACACACCGCCTGACTGTAAATGATTGACTTGGTGTTCCTTTGATGATTCATCCCTGTGAGATGGAGCTTCAATGGAAAATGTCAACTTTAAACCGAGATTAAACGGAATCACTCAGTATAGCTGGTGGGGGTGTGTGTGTGTATCTGTGTGTTCACGGGAGCCCAAGGGTGTGTGTGTGAGTTTGAGACTGGTAATGTTATGCTATTAAATTCATCATGGTCTTTTTGGCAGAAAATATAAAGTCAGTCCTGTCTTTGTCAGGTTCTGATTCAGATAAAGCCCGGTGCAGACCACACAACTTAGGCACACATAGTTATATAGTGACTTCTTTCTTGTTTTTGTTGAATTTTGAGATTGTTTGCTACAAACTTTCCAACTGGAATAATCTTGTTGTTGTTATTATTAGTCTGAGTTCAGTTAGTTTATTCACAAAACATTAAAATACAAGTACAATAATAAGAAATTATGCCGATTTGTGAAAAGGGACACCCTGGTAAGCTATCTGAAGTTTGTGTATAGGGGCCCAGACACTAAGCAAATAGTAGACATGTATTTGAAGTACTAACGTACTGTCTAGATAAATACTACAAATAAATAAAGCACATGCAATCTACAGTATCACTTCTAACCTACATACAGAAAACCCTAAGAGCTAAACTACCCTCATCATAACTACCCAAGAAATTCATTACATCAGTCTAGCATGAGTTAAATAGGTAAAATACTATAAATAGAGACATTTGCCAAAATAAATGTGATTTAAAATTTTTGGAAGTCGGCATAGTAATTTTCTTACCTAGAGTAACATAAGAAGATTGATACCATGGTAAATATGATGCTACTGCCTGCAGCTGGTTAGCTTAGCTGAAAGACTGCAAACGGGTAAACGGGCTCTGTCCGAAGTTAACAAAATCCACCTACCAGCATTAACATGTTATATGTGGTATATGTTTGTCACAGCGAGGTTTCCAGGTAAGCTAAATTTGTTCACACTTCAATTAGGGATAATTTTTCCTTCCCAGAACAGTGTCTGTTAAATCATTTCAATGTTGTGTTTTTTTTCTCTGTCTGTTGGCCAGTGGTGGGATGTGGAGAAAGGCGAGGCCCTGCAGACCTTCTATCCGAGGGGAACCGCGTTGAAAAGGATCCACGTCTCATCCGACTTCTCCACCTTCGTCACCATTGACAGCATCGGCATCCTCTACATCCTGCAGAAGGTGGTGTGACGTTGCGAACACTGCTCCGTAAGACCAAAAAAATAAATAAAGAACACCACGATCTGACCAAACGGTACATTTTTTCTTGCAATAACGTGTAGTGTTGCAGACCTTATACAGAAGTAGACATGTTTTGTGGGATTAAGGACACTTGCTGAAGGCTAACTGAAACCTGCAGCATCCCATAACTGCACATTTCTCAGATAAGTTTACATTTCCACTGTGCTCTTTCTACATTAAGGCTGACACTAGCCAACAGCATTACAATAGAACCCACACACTTTCAGTTCTGTGGGGTCAAATGACTAACTAACTTGACTTTACCAGTGAACACCAGCTTTAAATAAAAACTGCTCCAGCGGCAATCAACTGTTGGGAGCGTCAATGCACCGTGAAAGCACAAGACCCTAATGAGTCCTGCTCCAATCTTTCTGTTTTACACATGAAGACAGTAAATGCAAATGCACGCTTTTTGTAGATAAAATAGAGCAGAATCTCCTACAGAAACAAGGAAAGGTGCCTTACAAAGCAACATGTTCTTCTCAAGCAGATCCTTTTAATCATTAATACCTCATGAAGAGGTTAATATCAACAGTGATCTTTGCACCAGTTCAAATGTGAATAATAAATGTTAATCCATATTGCATTAGGGCCGAACTTTATTGCATGTGATGTGAGAGATTTTCCACTCTGCTGTATGTAATCGATATAAGCGATCCTCCGCTGGTCCGTTAGAAGTCATGCAGTGCATGTGACTGGTCTATGCTGTGATGTTTTGTAATTTTTCCTGTTTGTATTTTAAATCTTGGGTAAATCTTGGGCGTCTGGTCTGAACCTGGTCATTAGTATGAACTGTGTTGAGCATTTTATTTGCACTGCAGCCTTAGTCTGAATGGGAATACTGTAGGTACCAGGGGGTATGTATGTTTTGTGTACAGGGGTTTCTCGTTCCACCAGCATAGATAGAACTTCTGGTGCACTTTGAGAAGCATTAAATATTGATAGTTAGATGAAGTTTTTTAATGATTGAGGATTTAAAATTGAATCCCAAAAAAACTTTTGAAAGCCTGTGGGTCTATTTGTACATCCGAACTATTTCTACTCTTGAACTTAGATCAAAAGTACATCTTTTTCTACAGGAAAAAAAAAATCTAGTATGTGATTTATAATTTATGATCAAAATTTTCACTTGCTAATGTTAAAAGGAACATTTTGTGCTTTATTAATTGCTGAACTTTTTTGGACCAGTTCTCCATGCTACTTTTTTTTTACACACATTTTTATCTGCACGTTGTCTACTACTACTGAGCCTTTTCCTGTTCTGAGCACTTTGAAGCTAGAGTTACAATCTTTCATGAAGCTTTCACTGAGGTGGCTTCGTTCAGACACATAAAAAGGAATCCTTGCTATGATTTGACAATACAGATGAGCGCTTATTCCCAAGTATGTGACAGAGAGGCACATGTCGTATTCACGTGCTGTAATAAGGGAATAAAAGTAAGGATACATTTCTGAACAATGCTGTTGTCATTTTCACATTGTGCTCTTCCAGACTGGTGCTTTAAAGTCGGAATTAATTCAATCAACAGATTTCCTTCCAGTGAGGAGGTCTCTGTTTCACAAAATTGCGGAAATATTGATGTCTGCTCAGAATGTATTGATTATACAGTGTGGTGCAATGTCTGTGTAATTTATAAAGGATTAAACTACACATGCTTCAATACTGATGTGTATCGTGATTATGTTACCTGACAAATTTTCATTTTACATCGACTTGAAGTCCTTTTTGATGATGATACTGTCTGTTTATTGATCGTAGAATCTGTCAGTCCTGTTTTAGCTGCTGACTCAACATCAGTTTTAAACGTCGGGACTGACTGAATGTCCTGTGTCACCTTCAGCCCACTCCAAATGTCACCCGGTGACTGAGAAAATGTATTCACGCCTGGAATTAACTAAATGAAAGTATTTACTGTTGTCAGGAGAATTGTGCTACATGTGGTAAGTAAAGGTTTAAAATTAGGTGTCCTGATAATTTATGCAGAAAATGAAAGGTGATCATGTTTGCTTTCCCCTCAGAGACTTGCTGTCTAACATATACAGTATGTGGTGCTATTCTGTGTGGCAGTTTAAAAAGATTATCTGATATATAATCAGTCGCAGTTCAGTGATTACAAGGTAAAACGGTATTCTCAGCGTCATCTCCTTAAGTTACTCCACACTCAGTCCATTGTTATTTTGGCCAATCGAGAGACATTGTAATCTTGTTTTGTTGTTTACATTCATCTGTGTACCTAAAGGTTGAGTTACAGACGAGCAAACAATGTGAATTTTGGGACGCAAGTAATAATAAATCAACAAAATTCGAACCAGTCAAGCTCATTTGACAGCTGCCACCCTGCTGCAGTTCACATAATTTAACACATTTGAATTCTAGAAGAATATATAACTGCTCTTGAAAGTAGACACATGAGCGCTTGTATTTGTCGTACAGTGTATGTGGTATATACAGGGTGGAGGACAGTCTAGACTGCAATTTATTTTCACAAGAGGTGTTCAACAGTTGGGCTGATGTATGTTTCTTCAGCACTTCCCATCATCATATCCGTTGACTTTCATTTAATTAGTGGAAGGAGCTAAGTGTTGTAGGACTGGTAGATAAAGCTGTAGTGTGATTCATAATTATTAATTAATCAAATTTGGAATGGGATGTCCACTCTAATCAGGGCATGTCCTGTGTATTTTAAAGATGTGTGGAAAGTTTTGTATTCACCATTGGTGGATATGCTAGAGGCTGGTTCCAGTATTTTCTAGACTAGATTTCTAGATTGTTTCGACTACTTTTTAGGCTAATAAATAATTTAAAGACTTGTTATTTCCCACCAGAAGGTCATTCCTGGCAGTATGCAATTTAAAGCATGTGTGGCCTTAGTGTTTAAAAACATTTTTAAGACAAACTTAAATAAACCAATTTAAAACCCACTGGATTATTTGAAAATTGAATTGTCAGAAAAGCGAAAAAAGGGCTGTTTTTCATAGTTCATGAAAAGCTGACATTTTTGAGCTACTTTATTTTCACAGGACACAGAACTTAATGTTGACACAATAACTTTACCGTTATTAATGTGCCATTCAGAATCAATAAAATGTGGCTTCTCATCCTCATGCTTTTACTCTCCCCGCCACACGGTGGCACTGCTGCGCACCCAGGGCATCGAGCATAGTGCCCGTTCCGGGTGGATTCTGGGCTAACCCACGCCAAGTTCGGCTAAATAATAATGTAATTTCTTGGGAAAATACAAGAAGCAAATGACGCAACGAGCCTCTACAACTATAGTACTGAGCAGGACAGTGAATACACATATTTTGAGGACAACGCGGGGGAGTGAAAACTTAGAGGGACTGCTTTTCTGTCAGCAGGAAAGCTAGCTAAGCTAACGCAGCTAAAGTGATAGCGGCACACTTGTGAACACTCATTTTCTGAATGAACAATTACAACATGAACATTGCCCTGGATTTTTATTCTGGCGGTGGATGCTTCTTCACAGAGGAAGACCAGAACTAACAGTGATGAATGTTCTGACAGCCTACTCTATTAACTGTAAGTTAACTCTTTTTGTTGCTTGTTTAATTGGTAAGTTAATGCCAAGAGCCCCTGGGGTTTGCATGTATTAATTTGAGTTTAATAAATGTGGTAGACTGATTGATAGATGTGGTTGGAAAATTGAGGGTTTTCTATTGATTTAGTAGAGAAAGTCACAAACAGATCATTTATGGCGAGTCAGTGATTGATTAGCATGAACAGACCAGGCATCTGTAGCGCCTGATTTAAATAGTACTAATTAAATCCTTAATTAAGCATACTGGTGCTTGTGATCAGTGCCATTTTTTTTTTTTTTTTTTTTCAATTCACTTCGGTGTCTGTTGCTTATCTGAGAACTGGACATTGCACAGGTTGAGTTTGAGTGTCTTCTTTGCAAATCTGTAGTTATTTGTGAGAGCAGATTAAGAAGGCTTGCATCTCAAGAAATGAGTTGTAGTGTCTGCTGTTATAAATCAAGAGGGCTTATTTTACTTCCACTGATATTAAAAGCAGATGTATGACTATTGGCGTGTTTTCTGAAGTCTCCCCTTTTTGTAAAGTTAAGTATCATTTGAAATATATATACGTTATTGCAGTACACTCTGCAGCTTCTCAAAATAACTAAGCCATGGCAAGATCCTGGAGCTGCTGCTGGTGATGACATTTAAGTGGTAGCAGAGTATATAACTACCCTCTTGAAATTGGATGCAACAGGTGCAGCTTTTATTCCACATACATATAAATATATCATTCATACTGACATCATGCTACTCATTTACACACAGGCTGGAGTTCAGTCTGGACTGCAGTGCATGATGACATGTTCACATTGACTGAGGCAGTGTAGATGATGTATGTTTTTAACACCTCCCTGTCATCACACTCATCAGTTGACTTTGAACAAACTTGTGTTGCTGGGTGAAGCCTGTGATCCAATTCTCAGATGAGTTCTGTGTTATAGCTGCAGTGGGATTCATCAGTGCTTAATTAATTAGATTTCTGTGTGATGAAAGATATGTGTGGCTCTCTAACATAGGAGGTGAACATGACTGTCAGTAGTTATCACATTCTACCGCGTATCAGGGCTTGATGCAGGAGTGTTTTGCAGTGTTGCCTGAAGATCCTAATAAATTTCATGCAAGGAAGTTTCCTGGAAAGAACCATGTAACTTTGTACTAATTACAGGGATTTTTTTTTCTTCATTTAAACCAAATTAATATTTATTATTAATTTCTTGCATGAAACATTTGTGTCCATACATGTTGAATTGTACACTTGTATTTATACAAATTTCACATTTCTGCATTTAGGTAACACTAGCAATTAATTGTCCTTCTGTTTCTACCAATTACCACTATCAAATTACATACTTCATTCCAGGACACTTTATGGAAAGGATTGCACAGAACGTAAGGTCCATTTTGTTTAACCAGAAAGAGTCCCTGGGCCTTTCTCATTTCCCAAATTTCTGTCTCCTCAATCCTCGAGCGTGTGACCCGGAAATCGATCTCGGCACGCCATCTTGAAGGACATCTCAATTCTTAAAATGCACATCGAGGAGCGAGGATCGAGGAGGCTTGCTGGAGGACCTATAAGCGAGGATACATCGGTGTATCCTTTGCGGAAGTCTTTTCAGCTGTTCTGATGTTTACAAGAGGCATGACAAGCAGCTGGACCAATCCATAGCTGGAGCAGGACACTGCAGTGTTCCTGTTGTTTTCATAAGTCGTATCAGTTAAGCCTTTTAAAAATAATCAAATGCGCGATCAAACTTTCTGCCCTTCATCGTTTGTGTAGCGCCTTATAAAGAGTTGTTCTAACCGCATTCCTTAATGTCATTTCACTTTGATATCACTGATGTTGTTATTGCTGAATGTGATGTGTGGATGGGCAGCAGGATTGTAACAATGAACATTAAATAGCGGCTGTATGAAGCGTCTCCCCAGTGACACTGTGCGCATTTACGCACGAGCCACAGCAACATAAATTAATAATAATAAATCTCCTGACACACCGACAGGATCTGGTGTTAATTCATGTTCTGTGTTCTTCTTCACATCCAAACGGTCTCACACAGAGTCCAGTTTTATACAGTAAAAGTGTTTGGAGTAAAGCAGCAGTCCTCCTGATCAACCCTGAGCTCCATCAGAGTCTAAACGTGGATTATAAAAGCTGAAATTTTAATTCTGTTAAAACTCTCTCTCTGTCCTGTCAAGTTTATTACTGCAGGTTGTTTCTGTTTTGTCCCACGATATTTGCTGTGACATTACTGCACGGATGGAAACGTTTAAATGACTGACCGCAGCCTCTCTGATCATCAAAGTAAATCGTTAAAGAAAACACTCATACATCAATATAACACACAAGAAAGAAATCGCCTGGAGGGACCGGTGGAGGTGGGGGTAAAATGTCCATGCAGATGCTGGTCTCTAAATCTGATAAAATAATTAGTTAGTGGGGGGCAGCTGGATGATTTATGCGTATAGGCATATATCAACCAGAGCATTCAGACCTGATCTGTTTCATGTTTTAATAGCCTAATAGCGCCCATGTAGTCTGCAGGTCATTCCAACAGTAGAGTCCTGTGATGACAGCTGTAACTGGGACTATATGAGATAAATGTTAGTGTCATTTTGACTGATGATGAAACGCTCATCTCATCAGGCTGAGGGCCGTAACGATCTCCTGTTTACAGACAAAAGGTGCACCTCAAAAAAGTGGTAGGCCTAGTCTACTGTGTAGCCTGGTGACTGATCAGGCTGCTGTAATCTGACTGTTTTCAACAGATGCTATAATGTTTATTGGAACCTCGAGATGTTTCTACATGTTATAATGTTAACATGACATGTTTCTGGATTGTGAAGAAATGATCTGTAGCCTTTAGTGCCAAAAGCTGGTCTGTTGCTCTGACAGACGTCACAGCTCTAACAGTGGACAGATGAAGCAGCTGTGCAACAGGTCATATTTAATTGGCGTCGCTTTGAAATGACTGCTCCGAGGAAAGGACATCTCATTTCATTAAATGCGTGTTTCCTCGACTCCTCTCTCCTCGCGTCTCCTCCTCGAGCTCTCATCTCGGGTGGGCGGGACTAAGATGCGCCTCGAGGAGTCGAGAGGTGGAAATTTGGGAAATGAGAA